GTGTCTTTTGTACAAGCTGTTCCCACTGCCAGGATACCTGCCCCTCCTTCTCTACAGAGCAGACTCACCCTTCAAGGTCTAGCCAGGCTGCCAACTTCTCTGAAGCCTTTTCCGTTTTTCCCATCACCCCACCCCTGAAGAATTAGTGGTTCCTTCCTCTTTATTCCACAGCACTCTGAAGTTCTCCATGAATATACTCCAGCTTTTTCCAAAGTGTATCACCAGGACCAGGCATGAAGACTCCACAAGGGTCAGGATTTGCCTATTTTGTTCATAGCTATATTCCTCCCAAGGCACCCTGGTGGAGCAGTGGTTAAGTGCTTGGCTGCTAAACCAAAGGTTGGCCGTTCGAACCTACCAGCAACTCCCTAGAGAAAAGACCTGAGGTCTGCTCCAGTGAAGATTCTAGCTGAGAATACCCTCTAAGGCAGTTCTACCCAGTCCTATCAGGTTGCTATGAGTTGGAATCAACTAAAGAAGCACACACAACAGACAGTCTGTAGCACAGAATGGACGCGCAGCAAGTCTTTGTTAAATGAAAGTGCTGGCAGCGTTGAATCACCGTGCCATCCTAGGGCAATTTCTTCAGTACCTGTTGCGGCATGTTACCCCACTTGCCCAGCTACTACACACTGCTCTGAGATGTGCTTTCATTTCTTACCATTGTGGCCTCCTATTCCCTTCGCTCCGGTTTTAATTTATCTCTTGCTTCTAAATCTGTTCCTGGCTGGAAGGACTACAATCAGGTTAGTGAGAAGTGTAACGTGCAAAAGTAAACAGACCTAGTGCCCAAGTGCTCAGCCCGGAAACGCCACTGGATTCCAGTACGTGCACTCATGTGCTATCAATTTTAGTCTCTCTGAAGCTTCGGTCCTCAGAGGTGGTATCTGAAGTAACCTTAGGACAGGTATCCATCCGGCTCCTATAAATACAGTTTACCACCTCAGCTGGAGATCCTGGTCAGCTGTTCTGCCCTTTTTCACACCTGTTGTAACCTTTCACCTAGTTCTGATAAGATGGGAGGACTAGAGAATTTCATTGTAGACTTGTCCACACCCTTCATATTAGATGAAGTACTGAAATCCCTCCTGGCCAAACCCAGCCCCTTCTCCCCCTTCTTCCTGCCTCCTTATACTTCCTTACACTACCCTCTCCTCCTCTGCTGATTCCTCACATGTTTAAAATGAAGCATTCATATTTAAAACAAAACAGCTACCACCAGCTCTTTCATTCCTGATCCACAAGTCTCTTGGCAGCATTCTCTACTATTTCTCATCTCTCTCACTCTTCAACTTCCAGCATTTAGGTTTCCACCCACATGGCTCCACTGCTGATCTTTGCCATCCGTAGCGGTTACGACCGGGCTGCGAACCTCAAGGTCAGCAGTTCGAAACTACCAGCTGTTCCGCAGGAGAAAGATGAGGCTTTCTGCTCTAGTAAAGATTTGTTGTTGTTGTTATGTGTCATGGAATTGGTTCCGACTCCACAGCAACCCTGTACAGGGTTTCTGAGGCTGTAAATCTTCACGGGAGCAGAAAGCCCCCTTTTTCTCCCACGGAACAACTGGTAGTTTCGAACTAATGACCTTGTGGTTCGCAGCCCGATTCCTAACCACTATGCGACCAGAGCTCCTTCCAGTAAAGATCATAGGCCCAGAAACACTGTACAGGGTCGCAATGAGTAAGAACCGACTCCACAGCACATAACCACCACCACCAGGTCACCACCATGTCCTAATGAGTTTAGCAACATAGAAGTGATTTGTCCAGTTCAATCTGAGGCATTTGACAACATTAATTCCTTCACTCTGTTCATGAACCCACAAGGTATTGAGTACCGATTACTATGAGCAAGACACTGTTCTAGGTACCAGTTACCACGGAGTTGCCTCCAACTCCTGGAGCCCCAATGAGTATCAGAGGAGAACTGTGCATGGTAGGGTTTTCCATTGTGAGTTTTCAGAAGCAGATCATGAGGCCTTTCTTCTGAGATGCCTCTAGCAGTCAACTGTGTTAACCACCTGTACCAGCCAAGGACAACCACCACTGATAAACTAGTGAACATACTTGACAAAAGCCCTCATGGAGCATGCATTCATTCTCCCTTAGTCCTGAAAGGTTCTTTTCTCCTGGTTGTAGAAAGCCAAGCTCTTCTCTGATCTCTGACCCTCTTATGCCCAATGGGGATGTTCCCTGGGGGTTCTAGGGCATCCTATTTGGATACCAGTGCCCAACTCATCAGCCTTTCCTATAGCCTGACTACTCTCCTTAAGACCCGCATGTCCAGGTGCCTCCTGTATATCTCTAGCTGTGTCCTGCTGTGAAGTGCCATTGAATCGGTGTCAACTTATAGTGATCCCATATAGGGTTTCCAAGAAACAGCTGGTAGGTTTGAACGCCAACCTTATTGTTCATAGTCCATTGTTTAGTCTACAGTGCCATACCAGGAGTCCTACCGAACTTCAATTCCTGTACATCCCCAGATATTTATCGGCTCTGCTCATACATGCTCCTCCTTCATAACCCGACAAAACCAAAACCCCACTGCTATCAAGTTGATTCTGACTCATAAAGACCCTCTGAAGGGTTTCCGAGGCTATAAATCTTTACGGGAGCAAAGAGCTATGAAGTAGTTGCTGAGTTTGAACAGCTGATCTTATGGTTAGTAATCCAGTTCTTATCCTACAGGACCATCAGGGCTCCTTTAGGGACATATGTTGTTGTTGTTAAGTGTCTTCAAGTCAGTTCTGACCCATAGAGACCCTGTATAGATAGGATTTCCAAGGAGCCACTGGTGAGCTTGAACCGCCAACCTTACAGTTCAAACAGACCTTGCAATTTATTGCATTAACCCACAGCACCACACCAGGACTCCTCAAATATCTGTTGAATGCATGAATGAATTAAATGAAGGAATGACTTTTGTCCTCACACTGAAATGATTACTAAATCCTGTCCAGTTTCTCTTGTGAGGGATTACATTTTAAACCACTATGGCTCCTCAGTAGGAGTCCTGGTGTAGCTCTGTGGGTTAATGCGTTGGACTGCAAAGTCAATTTGAACCACAAGTTGCTCCTCGGAAAACCCAAGACAGGGTTGCTATGGGTCGGAACTGACTCAACGGCACGTAACAACAACTACATGGCTCCATAGGATAAGCACTGGACTGTAAACCACAAGGTCAGTGGCTTGAACTGCCAGCTGCTCTGTGGGAGAGAGATGAGACTCTTGAAAACCCAATACAGGCAGGGTTGCTCTGAGTTGAAATCAACTCCCCAGCACTTAACAACAACACTGCAACACAGCATTCTCACTGGTTTTCCTGTTTCTGTGGGCTAATGTGTTTGACTACAAAGTTGGTTTGAATCACAAGGTTGGCGGTGATTCAAGTTCACCAGCCGCTCCTTGGAAAACCCTATACAGGATCGCTATGGGTCAGAACCAACTCGACAGCACTTAACATTTCTAATTTTCAGACCTATTCCACCTTACTAGATACCTGAATCATTTTCCAAAGCTACAAATCTGACCCTGTCCTCACTCTAAAGTCCAGTCACTAACTTGGCCTCTACTCTGGTCCTCACATGCCCATTGATTGTGCTTTGCCATGTTGGTGGTTGGACATCTGTCGATTCCACATACTCACAAGGCCCTTCATGGTGGAGTTCTGACTTACCTGGTTGGCATTCCCAACCTTCTCTCTTCGCCTGCCACCCAGTGACACAAACTACTCACACCCTGCCTCAAATGTCAGCCTTTCTCTCCTCTGGGTATTTTGTTCCTTGCGTGGTACTCCCAGTTGACCTCCCCCAGATTCTGGTTCCGGAAAATAGCTTCTCTATTCTGTCCATGAACCCTAGCGTAGAGTACTAGTTCTGTCCTTAATTCCACATGTGGTCACTGAAAGTATTACTTAATAAATTACTTAGAAATTAGCATCCCAGATCAATCTGGGGTGTCTAGAGGATCCCAACATGAAATCAAGGTAGAGAACTCAACCTCCCTCAAAGCTTGTTTCCTCCCATGGGACCATACAGATTACAGAATTCCTGAAAGGAACCAGCTCTGAGACACACAGAGCTTGACAAGAGCTGTTCACAGCACAGGGTAAAAGCAGGGTTTGGGATTGTTCCAGGCATGGGCCCACCGTCACCATTTCAAACAAGTACGGAAAAGTCTCATCACCTCCGCAGCAGCTGAGCATGACTCAGCAGGTCGAGCCTTCCTCCCCAACACCGGGTGTGGCCCCCACAGCTATCCTCCGCCTATCTGGAGGCGGCCCAACTCTGACTGACACTGCCCGGTTCCCCTGATCTCCCTTTCCAGCCTCAGCCACCAGGACAACATATGTAGTCTGGACAGGAGAACCTCCACTCTCATTTTATACTCCTGGGAGAGCACAGTTTATTAAACTGATGAAGCCCAGAGGCGGTGGCAACAATTGGGTTTGGCTTGTGACCCCACCATTCACCAGGTACTACGTGACCTTGGCATGTTGCTCATTTCATCTGCCTGACTGCCTGAGCTTCAGTTTCCGGGTCTATACAATGGGAATCTCAGTCCAGTCTCGTAAACCTATGTGAAATGTGTGGCATAGAGAAGGGGTCACAAGCCCCTTTCCCCTCCATAAAGCATGTAGGCTGGGCTGGAGGTGACTGATTGCCAGGGTCCATGTAAGCATCGGTATCGTTATACTGAACACTGCTTAGATTTTTCAGTTAGTGTCTGTGTTGGGCAGGAGGTTGGCAGGATGACTTCTACAGACCCTGTGGTTTTGTGGGCTTTAATGGTCTAGGATTCTTCAGCCTCAAGATTCCAGGGCCAGAAGCCAAGTATCTCTAACCTGGTCAGGGCCAGAAAACTGGCTGGTGAGGCAGATAGTGTGTTAATATAAATGACAGTTGTCACCAAGAGGGCAGTGTGAGTATGTGGGTGTGTGTGGTAGGCGGTGGAGCATGGAGTGAGTGTGCGTTGATTAGCGAGGGATGGCGGAGCACTTACCTTCTGGGGGGCATTGATGACGCCCGTGTTGTAACCAAACTGTAGGGAGCCAAGCACAGCTCCTCCCACAGCCATCATGAGGCGACCCGTCAGCTTCTGTAAAGAAAAAACAACAGACTGTCACAAGCATGTCTGGGCCCAGGTTACTACAGGGCAGGTTCCCAGGTTAAGATATCTTGCCTGACTCCTGGCACCATGTCTGTCCTTCTCCCAGGAAACTTAGCCACTCCTGACCACAGGTGCCGGGTCAGCCCTGCACACTTCTAGACACTGGCCAGTCTTCACCCTGAAGGAGAGGGGATTGGGGTCTTCCCTCTACAACCAGGTCTTGTCAAGAAAAGAGGAGGCTTTAGCACTCTGTGGGGTCTTATTCCCCTGTTGGAACCATGCTTGGGGGCGCCAGGTGGTTCTAGAGCCAAACCCTCCACTCTAAGGGCTGTAGTCAGCCAAATTTCGTGGTAGGAGCATCACAGATAGGGGGAAATGCTATGGACTTGGAGCCAAGAATGCTGCCTTCTAATTTGAGTCTACCTGCCAACTTGTGAGTTCCAAAAGGCTAAGTCATTTCCCCTTAGATCCCTCCATTTTCTTAGCTGCAAAATGGGACTAGTCATGCTGACAGCATGGGAGGTGTGGCCCCCCCCTCCACAGACCTGGGAGGCAGAGATAAGCTGTAAATCACTTAGGAGTCTGTGGCAGAGTCAGGGCTGGAACCTAGGGCCCATGACTCCCCACCCAGTGCCCTTACAGCAACAATCCCCATACCACAGTCTTCCCAGGGCTATATGGGCTCAAATGACCTAGCAGCGAGGAATGTGCCCTGGAAAAGCAATGACATGAGGCCCGTAAGGGGGTCTGGCCAAGGCATACTGACTGGGCGAAGCACTGGGGAGGAGGAAAAGGACAGTGGATTTGAGGGGATGAAGGCAGCAGGGAGAGGTCTATTTACACAAAGATGAGAGAAAAGTGAGCATGGCTGGGAGGATGCAGAATCTTTTTCTGGCTTTTAAAATGAGGAAGCCAAGAAATGTGACTTCAGGCAGGCCCTCAATTGGTTGTGGGAGAATGGAGGGGGTCCGGGGGTGGGGAGGCACACCAAAGAACCCAAGAACCGACTTGCCACTTGACTACATGCATCACATGTAGCACTGGTCACAGCATGTGACTTTGCTGTGGGCCTCAGTTCCCCACATAACCTAGGGGTAGCCCTGACTTCAAGTTCCTCACAGAGAGTACTGGGTGTGGATGTTGTTAATCAGCTGCTGCTTTCTGATCTTCATTCTCTGGAAGCTGTCAGGCAGTTGCTATGAAAGCCAAGGTTCTAACATGAGAGGCTGAGAAGAAGGAAGACAATGAGTACCCAGTGCATGAGCTCAGGGTCTTCCTTCCCACTGGTCACCTGGCCCCTGCCTTCCAAATCCTGTTTTCATGGGCCACCTCAGAAGATAACCCCCCCCCCCCCCATCACTCCCCACAGATCTCTTTCACTCAGCTCCACAGGAGAGGGCTCAGTGCTGGGCCATCAGTTCTGAGTGTACGCTGCCCACCTGCCACACCTTTTCTGGTACGTTCTGGCCATACACTGGGCTTATAGCAGACAGGCCCTCCAGCCAACTGCTGAGGGTGATGGCCAGGTTTAATAAAGGATGCGCATCCAGCATAAGTATCAAGGAGTGGGGCTCAGCAGACATCAGACGCTGAACCACCTCCAGGTACTGGTCCTTCTGCCTGCTTGTTGCTATTGGGAAGTGCCACCGAGTGGGTTACAACTCATAGCAACCCTGTATGGCAGGGGTGGGAAACCTCCGACTCACAAAATCATTTGGCCCCAGTTTCTGCCATCACACTAAGGGTGAGTTAATTAACTGCTTGACCGAATATAACTGGCTAGTTTTTAAGTTGATAATTTAATGATGTTACAAATTTTGGCAGAAAAAAAGGTTTTCTCCATCCCTACTATACAGAAGTAGCTGTATAGCTGAGGAGTAGCTGGTGGGTTTGAACGGACCTTTTGGTTAGCAGTCCAATATTTATCCTACAGCACCACAACACAACCCTTTGGACTCCTGGCAGTGACCCTATATAATGAAGTATGGAAAAGAGAATTTATTTCTTTATGTCTTGATTTGGACACTCTCCAACTATTATATTTAAGTTCAAAATCAAACTTCAGAGGAGTGTTGTATGTTACCTTTTGTGTAACAACAAAATGGCTGCAGTTAGGGGGCAGACACCTACTTACTTACATTGTGCTCTGGGACTGGTTAGAAGGGAGAAATCATTCTATACCCTTTTTGTACTTCTTGCATTTTGAATCATGTGACTATATCATCTATTCAAAATAAATTTTTTACAAGCCCTATGATTTCATGGGGGCATAGTGACTCTGTAGGATTAATACTGGACTATGAACCACAACGTCAGCAGTTTGAGCCCACCAGCTGCTCCAAAGAGAAAAGATGAGGCTTTCTGCTCCTGCAAAGATTTACAGCCACTGAAACCCTATACAGGGTCACTATGAGTCAGAACTGACTTGACGACACTTAACAACAACATAATTTCATATTACTTCAGACAAAGCAGTTTAAGTAAAAACACTGAGTGAAAAACAACGCAGATGATTTGGTAATCTGGCAAACTTGTGTTCGTGGCACATGAATCAATGTATTGAGTGGTGACTGTGAGGGCTAAGTGCTGTTACTGCACATCCTGGTTTAAGTTTTGCTTTGACGTTTCAGGGGTCTTTAGGCCTGAGTCACACATAGGGCCCCTCTTGGCAGCTATTCAGCTGTAGCCTTTGGCAGTGGGTCTGTCAAGGACAAATCCTTCTGCTGGACTTTGCCACTGGCAGGTCAAAAAACCTGCCTACCTCCACCCTGGGTTATAGCCACATTCACTCATTAAAATGCTCAGTGTGACCCATGCTCAGGACCCTGTGCCAGGGCTGGGGTTCCGTGTGAAACAGGACCCAGCCCTGACATCAAGGCAGAGGCTTCTGGTCCAAAGGGGAGGCAGCAGCCAACAAAGAAAAGTTCATATGGTCTGGGCTTCTACAAGGTCTAGTTTGGTTGGGGACAATCAAAGAGGTTTTTTCAGGAGGTGACTCTAGAGGTGGGCTGTGAAGAACATGCAGGGAGTTTGCCAAGTGGGGAAGCAGTGGCAAGACTGCATTCCAGGTAAGCAGTATAGCATGTGCAGAGGAAGAGGGGGGACAGAAATGACCAGGTTAAGAAAGAGTGTGCTGGCTGGCTTGCCGCTAGATAAAGGGGTAATGGTGCCTCTACCCTTTGGCAGGCATGCCACACCATCTACGTTCCCATCTTCCACCCTCAGTGCACGTCCTCACCACACCCAGCTTGACGATTGCTAGCTTAGAACCCAAAGAACCAAGTTTAAGTGCAATGAGGCTCTTACTTTCTACCTTGGAGTTGGAATATGTGGCAACCCTGTTGCTAGGACTGAGTTTCCTCACAAAGGAAATGGAGATAAAAGTTCCTGCCCTGAAGAGTCGCAGGTTCTGTATGGAGTGCCCATCAGGGAGCTGCTCAGAGCTCACTCATCAAATGCTTGTTGAATCAGAGGCCAGGAAGCCACCTTTAAACCAGCTCCTATGGCATGGCCAGAAACTTGGTGATGAAGTCCATTCATTTAATGTTGTTTTTATTTAGGTACTGAACTGGTGGACAGGTACAAACCCTACAGAGCTTGTGACTTCCTTTAAATCTTTTTGGGAATGAGGGAGGAATGTTGGGCTTAGAATTTGAAACCCCCAATAACCCATCACATCACTGCAAGAATTAAAGTGTTTAAGTGCTCTGTATAAGATTTCCAGAGTAGCTGGTGGGTTTGAACTGCCAACCTTACAGTTCAAACCATCCTTGTGGTCCAGTGCTTATCCTACAACGCTGTAGTGTTTAACTGTTGGTACATGGAGGGGATTGCAGTCATCTATAACGAAGCAAAGTAAACGATTTGTTGAATGTTAAAGTGATGATCTGCTCTGTAGACCTTCACTCAATTCAGACATACACACAAAAGGGTAGAAAAACACGCTAATAGTATGCCTTCCATCCAGGACTGTAGAGAAAAGACCTCTTAGAACCCAGGCTGACCTGAGTTCAAATTCCAAGTCTCCTAGCATGGCCACAGGCATCTCAATTCAGTGAATATCTAGGGCACAGGGCCCAGCACAGAAGAGGAGCTCCCAGCCCCACCTCTTGACATTTCTATCCCAATTCTGGGGTCTAGAGGCTCCATCCAGGAAACCCTTGATGAGGTGTCACCATTGGGGACCTTGCTTCCCACACACTGGGATACAGGGTTGCCTTTTAACCCAGGCCCGTGTACCTTCCCTTCTTAGCACCCCAGGTCTGGGCTTGGCCTACAGCAGGCCCTTAGTCAATATTGGCAGAGGGAGGTGATGTCCCTAAGAGTCATTCAGAGAGACAAAGCATTCTCTGCGGGAGGAGGGTCCAGGTGCCAGCATAATCCAGAGTACCCTTCATCTCTTCCTCTGCCCAAAGCTTCCCACATCGGTTTCCCATGGTGCACTGGACATTGGCACATAGGGCTTTGGAACTGCTTAGTCCACAGTTCTAAAGAGGCTAGGAGCTGGGGATGAAAGGAACAGGGGTTTCTTTGACTCAGGATCACTAGCTCCCTTTTTATTTTGGGTACTTTAGAAAGATTTCATTTGAACAAGGGTCTGGGCATTGAAAACTTCAGAAATTCAGAATTGCTGTAGCGCCCTCATTTGATAGATGGAGAGGCTGAGATCAGCAAGCACAGGCCCATCATAGTAAACAAAAGCCAGGGCTATATAGCCCTAACGTACTTTGGATTTCTATCCTGTCTCT